ATAGGGAGATCCTGTCTCAAAAGACCGAAAAAAAAAAAAGACCAAAAAAGAAAAAAAAAAGAATAATTTTAGCACCATTAATATTTGCTGTGAAGGTTTTTTTTTTTTTATGTGTATGAGTACACTGCCTGCATGTATGTGAGTGCACCCGTGTTGTACAATGCCCATGGAGGTCAGTAGAGCATGTTGGATCCCTGGAACTGGAGTTTCAGATGTGTTAGCCTCCATGTAGGTGTTGGGAACCAAACTCAGGTCCTCTCTGCAAAAACAGCCAGAGCTCTTAACCACTGAGTCATCTCTCCAGCCCCTGCTGTGAAGGTTTTTTACACAGATATAATATTCCTTTTATATAGAAATATTTTTAAGTAAAAATGTTAAAATAGCAATGAACCATTATTAAGGCCTGGGCACATATGGCTTTTGAACACAGCTCTCATTTAAGTTCATTAGCAGTCCTTTGGGATAACTTCACAAGCCATCAGCAGTTAAGAACACTGGCTGCTCTTGCTGAGGCCAGGTTTGGTTCCCAGCACCCACATGGTGGCTAATACTGTCCGTAACTCTGTTCCAGGGGATCCGACACCTTCTTCTGGTCTCTGTGAGCACTAGGTGCATATGACATACATGCATCATGACACACTTATACACAGTAAATCTTTTTGTTGGTGATGGTTCTTTTTTTAAAATACAGGGTCTCCCTACAGCCCCACCTGGCCTAGAATTCGCAATGTAAACTCACAGAGATCTGCCTGCCCCTGCCCTCACTTTTTTAAGTTTCTTTTTTAATTTAGCTAATATATTCCATTTTTTTTAATGGGTATGGTGACACACGCCTTTAAATCCAGCATTCAGAAGCCTGAGCAGACTGATTTCTGTGAGATTCAGGCCAGCCTGGTCTACATAAGGAGTTCTAAACAGCTGGGGCTACAGGGAAACCCTGTTTCAAAAAGACAAAAAAAAATCTTAACGTATTTATGACATCTACATGTGGGCCATGATGTGTGAATAATGATAATTATAAATAAGAAAATTCTTTAATGTCTTAATTTTTCATTTTGCCTTCAAAATCCTTCAGTTGTCTTTTTATACTGTTTTGAGAGTCTTTACTTCAGTCCCTGGTCTTCAAAACTTAATTATTGATAGACGTTTTTAGTGGCTCCATAGGACCTATTCTGAGAAGGAATTTAACAGTCCACACCTTCCACCATTAGTCCTAACTGCTCCTACTGCTAATTAACCATGTTTGCCAAACTGGTTTCCCTAAACCATTCAATAACTAATCATTTTCTTAGGTTTTTTTTTTTTTTTCCCCA